ATTTACATCCAGAATTTTAAAAGTCAAGGAAAGAATCTAGAGACAATTTCTGATATAGAACTATTTTAAATACCCAAAAGAAGAGAATTTATAAAATTGCATATATGGAGGTTTTGTTGTGTGTTTTTTTTCCCCATAGAGAATGTATGAGTAAGTGAGCACATAGGACATTATTATGAGTAAGGGTTTAGCAATCCCTGTAAGCTGACCTAGCAAAATTTCTGAGAAGTGATGAACTTTAGTTCACCTGCAGTCCATACTGAAAGATACAAGTAACTAGTGGCATGCATATATAGGTATATATATACATATTTGATAAGTTTCAATATGTCTCTGTGTTAAGCGAACTGGTTTGGATTAGATTATTTTAAGGTTCCCTTATGCAATAAAATCCCATGATTATAAAACAGACTGAATTATGTAACTTCCCTCTAGTTTTATTTAATTATAAAGTAAACCCTTGTTTCCTAAACTGAATTAGCTTATTTAAATATTAATAACATGCTAAGTCCTACACCTGAAACACATACACAAACTACCCCAGTTCTACAGTTGTATTTTTAGGTTTGGTCTCTATGAACTTTGTACACAGATACCACAAAGTCCTACAGTAATTATTTGTGTCTACCCAGAAAATATTTCCAAATACTTTTTTAAGATACATATCCTGCGACTCTATGTATTGGGCATATGACCTATTTTACCAATAAAAAATATTTTACAACGTAAACACAATGATTAATTCAAAAGGAAGCACACAAAAATTTCCCCCAAAATTATTATGTTAATTTTAGGGAGAAAGAAGTTTTTTCTACTGGGGTCCTAAACCAAACCGATAGGCCTGGCGTTGTTGATGCTTTCCTTCCTTCCCCACAATGGTAAAAAAGGCTACAGCAGAAGCTTAAGCTTATCTCAAGTAGAGATAAGCAGAAACAAGAAAAAAGAGTGAAACATTCCTGTGATGACACCCATTTGGTCCCTGACTCCATTCCAATCCTTCAAGATTATAAAAGACAGGGCATCCCTGGTGGCGCAAAGGATTAAGATGCAACCTAGGAAGCTATCGGCAGCCACTGAAGCATGAGTTCAATCCCCAGCCAGGGAGAAACCCAAATGGCGCAGCAGACCTCTCCTGACTTGCCTGCTGCTCCCCTCAGCAGTGTATTTCAGTCAATCTGCCTGTTATGTTCTCAACTCTGTCTCTGGTGAATCCTCTCACCCTCGGCACCTCTGGCCTGTACCCCAGCTCTTGTATGCACAAATAAAAATAAATCTTTAAAAAAAAAGATTATAAAAGACAATACATAATCTTCTTACTTAGAGCTAGTTAAAATAGGCTTTCTGACATTTGCAAACAAGAACCCCTATTAAACTAAGCCAGAGATGACAGTTTTCAATTTGCATGCCAACTGTCAATATTGAGTGTTTGCTTCGGCAGCACATATACCAACTATCAATATTGCCAGGGACTGCCTACAGCAATGTGATGAGAGGGACTCTGAAGAGAGGCCTCCAATGGACAAAGAAAGCAACAATTTACTAACAATATCTAATGCCATCAGTAAAAGCAGACACACACCATATACTTGTCAGTCTTGGGCTGAGCAATGTCTTTGGAAATGACACTGGCATATAAGCAAAGGAACAGTAAAAAGTCCTGGAAACTGGCAGAGTTTGCAGTTACATAAGGAAAGACAGATTCAGTATCACTAAAAAATGACAATCAAAATAATGTGGTTTCATTTCTATCTTTTGTTTCAATTATTCCCTGGTTTAATACTTTAAGGAAATAATAATTCAATTAAAGCTGATTCCCTGTGCTTTTCTTTCTGCTTCAATATACTCTGGATTATTCATAACTCAGGGGGAAAAAAGATAGTTTATGAATTTAGGTCTCATTTCAGTTCAAGTGCCCTAGTTCTAAGGTGTTATTTTAAATTGAAAATTTTATTGAGGGCCTCCCTTGGTGGCGCAGCAGTTGAGTGCTGGGCTGCGAAGCTGCAGTTCCATCCGGTTTGATCCCCGGCCACCGGCAAGGGTCCCACAGGGCATGCAGACCTCTCCTGCCGTGCCCGCTGCTCCCCTCAGCAGTGTATTTCATCAGTCTGCCTGTTCTGCTCCCCGCTCTGTCTCTGGTGAATTCTCTCACCCTCCCACGCTTCTGACTGTACCCAGTGCTTGTATAAATAAAATAAATGAATCTTAAAGAAAGAAAAGAAAATTTTATTGAGATAATTGTAGATTTACAAAAAATTGTTTTTAAAAATACAGGGAGAGGGCCTCCCCAGTGGCACAGTGGTTGAGCGCTGGGTTGCGAAGCTGCCCGCAGCCTCTGCAGCGCCGGTTCGATCCCAGGCCAATGGCGAGGGTCCCACATGGTGCGCAGACCTCTCCTGCCATGCCCGCTGCTCCCCTCAGCAGTGTACTTCAGTCCTTCTGACTGTTCTGCTCCCTGCTCTGTCTCTGGTGAATTCTCTCACCCTCCCGCGCTTCTGACTGTACCCAATGCTTGTATAAATAAATAAATAAATAAATCTTAAAAAAAAAAAAACAAAAAAAAACAGAGAGATTCTTCATATACTTTGCCCAGTTTCCTATACTAATATTTTGCAAAGCTACAGTATAATGTCACAGCCAGGATACTGATAATGACACAATGTATTAGACTTTTTTAGATTTCTATCAGTACTTTTAAATGCTCTATTTAAAAATTCTATTTGTTGGGGCCTCCCTGGTGGTGCAGGCGGTTAAGCGCAGTGCTGTGAAGCTGTCCACAGGCTCTGCAGTGTGGGTTCGATCACAGCTGGCTGGAGAGATACCCACATGGAGCAGCAGACCTCTGCCTTGCCCACTGCTCCCCTCAGCAGTGCATTTATTTCAGTCAGTCTGCCTGTTCTGTTCCTGCTCTGTCTCTGGTGAATCCTGTCACCCTCCCGGACATCTGGCCTGTACCCCGGTTCTTGTACGCATGAATAAATAAATCTTTAAAAAAATTCTATTTGTTCCCCCAATTTTTTTTATACTCAAAAGGGCTGGTTTATTATAAAAGGAGAGAGAAGAGTAAAGGACACTTGCATAGACACAAACAGGCAGAAAGCGATGCCCCCGAAAGGGATAGGTTTGTTAAAAGAGGGACCTGCATAGTCCCAGGAGGACAGCCTTGGGAGGAGAGCTGCTCTGTGGCTTTGTGAAAGGAGAAGGTTGATGAAGAGAAACACCTACATAATCACAGCAGCACATAGCTGCTGCCCCAAATTTTTTTTACCCAATCTCATAATTTGCAATTTAATCTCTTTGTAAAGAAATTTAGGCTTTGCGCCATTCTGTAGTCATGGATCTCAAGGTACTCATTCTTTCCACAAATGTAAAATTATTCAGTTATACTTTAATTTCTCTAAAGTATGGGGCACTGGTTCAAGAATTCAGCTTTTCTATGTACTAGCACAGGCAATCATTTAACATCTCAATATTTCCCACATCTGTAAAATGGGAATAATAGTACCTATTGAAAGAGTTATTAAAGATCAAAGTATGCCTGCAAATTGGTTGACACAGTACAATGCACAGAGTAAGGGCTCACTAAACTTCGAACACAATTAGTAACTATTTGATCACCACGGCTTTCCTAACAACAATCCATCCATTTCAATCTCTTTAACATCCTAATTATATATCCATTATATACCATTATATACCCATTTTTTTCAATGAAATCTATACTGTCTATACACAGTATAGTCAAAGATCAAACTTTTCTTCACCAATGCACAATTTAAGACAGACAGCAACAATGCCCACCACCACCACCGAAAAAAAAGGATAAAATTGTTTGGCATTTTTGATAGAAGTAACAGGGATGGAAAAGTGCAAAGAGAACACCAAACAACTGAATCAATAAGATTTGAAATGTGGGATGAAAAAAGTGAAGATGACTGTGGTTTCAAGTCATAATTCCATGAACTATATAGAAGAAAAATGGCTTCCAGACCGCTACAAATCATGTATTCATTTTCATGAATTCTAAACTATATCTTTAACATCTCTAACGAAGTGAATTATTTTTACTTGTAAAGCGAAACAAGTACCTTGCAAGAACAAGAAATATGGAAGACTATAGATGTGCTGAGCTGGGGAAGGATTTAGGCTACTTATTACATTTCATGTATCATAACATGCTTATTAAAGCTAAGATTCAGGGCCTCCCCTGGTGGCACAACGGTTGAGCGCTGGGCTGCGAAGCTGCCTGCAGTCTCTGCAGCGCCGGTTCAATCCCCAGCCACTGGCGCGAGGGTCCCACATGGCGAAACAGAGCCCTCCTGCCGCGCCCGCTGCTCCCCTCAGCAGTGTATTTTGTCAAGTCTGCCTGTTCTGTTCCCCACTCTGGCTCTGGTGAATTCTCTCACCCTCCTGCGCTTCTGACTGTACCCAGTGCTTATATAAATAAATAAACTTTTTTTTTTTTTTAAAAAAAAGGTAACATTCAGTATACCTATAATCATTTGTTCATAAAATAGAAATCAGGATTTCAGTATTCACTTGTTCACTGGTGAATCCCCAGTGTCTAAAACAGTGCTGAAATAGTGTTAACACTCAATATATTTGTTAAATACATATGTGAAAGAACATCATTACATGTTAAGAAGGGTTCTATGTTGACCTCATTCCTCTGAGGGCTCAGTATTCTCTCCACTTTTTCTCTTATTAAAATGTCCCTCTGTAGCTAACTCTACTCTCAAAGATATAAACAAATTGCAATATACTAATTTAGTAAAGGTTATAATAACCAACTCACTTATACTAAATTATTAAGCTCTAGAGGTCAAAACAAAAATCATCAACAGATCATCAGACACAAAGTAAATGCATGAGATTTTATACAGATTTTTAGGTATTCCCCAACCATCACTTTGCAGTTTTGGAATTTAAAGGCAAATACACTAAGTACATGTGTTGCTGGATGGAAAATCTGATAAGTTTCCTTGCAGAGTTCATCATCTTACCAGGTCTTTCTTTCCCAGTGCCTTTTGACTCAGCAAATTTCTGTATCAAGCTTTCAACTGTAGTATTAGCCATGTTATTTATAAATTCTTCATGAACCTATTAAGATGAGATAAAGACAATTTTTTCTTTTTCCATAAACATTGTTACTATATTTCAAACAAATCTCCTACAAGAAACTAAAATTCATTACATCAAAATATGTGTATTTTGATTCAGAGTCTTTTACAACTTTCTATTTACCTAATTTATAATATTACAAAGCTCTGCTGCTTAATTTACAATGTTAGCAGATTTATGACTACCATCTACTGTTTACATGAGCCCCTTAGTATTTGGCCTCACAGTCTTAGCATCAAAGTGATTTCCTATTCCCATTTTTAAATCTTTTAGAGAAATAACTCTTATGACAAATATAATGTATACAGGCAATAAAAAGTTTTAGCTTTTTAGTAATAAATAACAGATTTCACCTTTCTCTACTGTATTTCAATACACCCCAAACTGTCTCTATTAAATCTTATATTTTTGGAAAATTTCTAAGTACAAGTTCAAGAAAGCCACTAAAGCTACTGTTCCAAATTTAAAAATAGTGTAACTTTACCAAAGAAATTTTCAAGAATGGGTATCTTCAGAATTCTAACATAAAGACTGACATCACTGATTTTAAAATTTAAATTATTAGTATTCAGTGAAATGTTCTTTCTATTTAATACATGTTAAGTACAAATTCTTTCTCTGAAAAAAATCAGTATTATGAGTTTTGAATTTTTAGAGTCATAAGTAAACATAAAATTTTCACGAATCAGCTCAATGAAAGTAAAATTTTACCTGGCCTATTTGCAAATGAATTTCCTTTATAGCATTTGACAAGGATTCTATAATTTCCTTTATATGAATGAGATGAGTTTCTTCAATATCTTGAAATTTCTGGGTAGCAAATATAAAAAGTTACACATATATACACATACACATTCTGAAATCAAAGTCATCTCAAATATAGCTAACGAAACTTAGCAAGTTACCATTATTACATAATGTTTATTTATTTTACATAATGCTTAACAATGTTTCTAGACAAATGCTCCTAGACATAGTAAAACATAACTGTAAGAAGTTAGGTTTTTGCACTATGTGATATGCACATCAAAGACATCTTTACAGACACATCACCCAAAGCAGTGATAGTGAAGGCAAAGATCAACAGCTGGGACTACATCAAATTAAAGAGCTTCTGCACAGCAAAAGAGACAATAACAAAAACAAAGAGAAACCCCACCGACTGGGAGAACATTTTTGCACACAACACTAATGATAAGGGACTGATCACAAAAATCTGCAAAGAGCTGATGAGACTCAACAGAAACAAAGAAAATAATCCTGTCAAAAAATGGGCAGAAGAGATAAAAAGAAATTTCTCTGAAGAGGAAATGCAAATGGCCAACAGGCATATGAAAAAATTTTCAACATCACTTGTAATCAGGGAAATGCAAATCAAAACTACCATGAGATACCATCTTACAGGAGTGAGAATGGCACATATTAAAAAAACTAGCAACAACAAATGTTGGCGAGGATGTGGAGAAAAAGGAACTCTCCTGCACTGTTGGTGGGAGTGCAAACTGGTCCAGCCACTACGGAGAGCTGTGTGGAGATTTCTGGACCTACTAAACATAGAGCTTCCATATGATCCAGCAATTCCACTCCTAGGTATTTACCCAAAGGACACAGAAACATCAATTCCAAAGAACACCTGTACCCCTATGTTTATAGCGGCACCGTTTGCACTAGCTTAGCTTTGGAAACAACCCAAATGCCCAAAAATAGATGACTGGATCAAGAAGATGTGGTACATATACACCATGGAATATTACTCAGCATTCAAAAAAGATAAACACATGCAATTTGCAGCAACATGGATGGTGCTGGAAGGGATCATGCTCAGCGAAATAAGCCAGAAAGAAAGAGAAAAATACCGGATGGTATCACTCATAGCATTAATCTAGAAAACTTAAATAAGGGACCGGGAAAATGAAGAACTATAAGAAAGTGAAAATCAAAATCAACAAAAAACTATGAACCAGAGACACTCTATGGGGGGGTGGGGGCGGGGAGGGGAGGGATTGGGGTCAAAATAAGGGGGTTGCAATTGTATGGGGAACATAAAAATAAAATTTATTTAAAAAAAAAAGAAGTTAGGTTTTTGTAACACACTGAGATACCAATCTTATACCAGTAAGAATGGCATATATCAAAAAAACAAGCAATAACAAATGTTTGTGAGGATGTGGTGAAAAAGGAACTCTCCTACAATTGCTGGTGGGAGTGCAAACTGGTCCAACCACTATGGAAAGCTGCCTGGAGGTTCCTCAGCCTACTAAAAAGGGAGCTACCATACGATTCGGCAATTCCACTACTAGGGATCTACCCAAAGGACACAAAAACATTGATTCAAAAGAGCACCTGTACACCTATGTTTATTGCAGCACTATTTACAATAGGTAAAACCTGGAAACAACCCAAATGCCCAAAAATAGATGACTGGATCAAGAAGATGTGGTATATATACACAATGGAATATTATTCAGCCATCAAAAAAGATAAACTCATGCCATTCGCAGCAACGTGGATGGAGCTAAAAGGAAGTATGCTCAGTGAAATAAGCCAGAAGGGAAAAAAAAAAATATCGGATGGTTTCACTTATAATAGGAATATAAGACATCAATGTAAAAAATATAACAGTACAAAACACAACAAAGCAAAAACAGACAATTATAAACCAGAGACATACTGCAGGGGAGGAAGAAGGAGAGAGGTGAGAGGGAGGGAGGGAGGAGCACAGAGGACTGTGGTGATGGTGCCTGGGTGCCTTGGGGAAGGAAATTCTATGGGGACTCAATCTGAGGGGTGGGGGAAGCAAATAGTATCTAAAAATGTAAAAAATGATAAATGTTAAAATAAAAAAGTTAGGTTTTTGTTATGCTATTTCTTAGGAAAATATGAAATCTATCAGTGTTTGAAGATACTGAAAATTAAAATCTGTAATCAGGGTCAGAAAATTGGGAGGCCCCTCAGAAGAGAACAGCGTTACAAAAGCCAAGGGAAATGTTCCAAAAAGTGAAAAACAACTTGTTGGCAGAGCAAAAACTATAATTTACATTTGAAGGCTTACTAATCTAGCTTCTAGACTCTCAAAATGTTTTCTAATTCTTGAAATTTCATATACAGTTCCCAAGAGAGGTAATCTGTGGTCAAAGAAATTGGGAAAGCTGGCATAAGCTATCTCTGCAGTCCTCAACTTGACATGGGCCTGTTATCAGATCACCTGAGGAACAATTTCAAATTATAAATCACAAATAGGGGTGGAAAGAGATGAAAATGTTGTTTGGAAAAAGTTAATTCTGATATTTATCCTCTAGAAACAAAACCAGTGCTAGACTTGATTTCACAGTAAACATTTAAAACGCTGAAAAACACTGAAACAAAATTATTTCATCCTGCTCAACCCAGTGTTTTCCAAGTTTCTTTGACCGCATACCCCTTTTTGTTTTTCTTCTCTATCTATTAATATGTCATAGAAAATATTCCTCAAAATAGGATTTGGGAAATGCTGAAGTAGTCATTTTCAGACAAAATACACTAGTCATTTTAATTACACAAACCTACTTAACCTTTTTTTAAAATTATAGTTAATTCTAAGAAATGTGCCTCAGGCAAAAGTGCCTGGTTATACCTTCCTGGTTTGTTTATCAAATTAATTTCCTCATTCTTTATTTATTTTAAATATTTATTTTTATACACTTATGCATACAATAACTAGAGTATAGGCTAGAGTTGCGGGATGGGGGGAGGAGGGAGTGGAGATTCACCAGAGACAGAGTGGGGAGCAGATCAGGGGGATCTACTAAAATACACTGCTGAGGGGAGCAGCAGCTAAGACAGGAGAGGTCTGCTACACCATGTGGGTTAGTTAGCTCCCTGGCCAGGGATAGATCTCTTGTAGTGTCTGGCAATAGCTTGACCATGATGAGACTTTAACCCCTGCACCAAATAAGTATGAGGGAGGCCCCTTATTTATTGGCCAAATTCCTTCAGCACTCAAGTACATGATCAGAAATCACTATGCATGATCAGAAATTACTAAGCTAAATAATTATATCCATTATTTGTGTAAAGGGCATGAAGTTTAAAAAAAATCAATACTGGCAAAATCAATTTGGGCAGCAATACTATAATAGTCTACATAATTAAATCAATTTTACTCACAAGGAATGGCAGAGTTTATAAAAGTGTTCATCGCTGACTAATTTTGAACAACTCAATGAGAATATCAGTATTTCAAGATCCTGAATTGTTCTTAGAACTGAGGCATATTCAGAAGCATGATTCTATTTTATTTCATACTACAAAATGTCCCCTTCAGCTTAAATACCTGCAATTTAGTGGACAAGATATTTTCTCATAAACCCAAATCCAGCTACAAATTTCACATGGGTGACCCCTAATTCCAAGAAAACTGTGCCTTCTCAATATCTTTTGAAACAAATACAATAAATAAAGCAGAGCCTTAATTGTTTAGAAATATCTTGAAGCAGGAAGCCATAGAGAAACTCAAAGCATGATTCAAATGCAATTTTGAAATTGTGTTGGCTTTCTTGGTGGGGAATCATTGGTAAATATCACAATTCTTCAAAAGTAGTCACTGAGCTCGGAGCAATTCAACAATGAAAATGTAATCTCAAAAGTTCAAATATAAATAAACGGAGCAAATTGAACAAATCAACTAGATCTTTCCCCCTTCATTTAAACATTCACTGTTTAACTGTGCTTTGTTACATTAGTTTTAAAAAATGCAACCTTGTTAACCACCAGAGATACAAAAAAATAACCCTAAATCAAGTTCTTATCTGTAGGTACAGCTTAAGTCAATCCCAAAGGTTTCTTGAACTAGCCATCTGTTTAAAGTAAACAAAATTTCCATCTGGTTTCAAGGTTTTAAAGTGTCATCAACTAACAGTTGCAAAAAGTTCAGGCATAAAAATAAGACACAATTTTAATCATGCTTATACTCAACCCAAATTATAAAAATCAGATCACAAATACTCCAAGTAAGTTCTAACCTCTTTTACCTCAGGGACTCAGTTTCTTTTCTCACTAGTAAATACAAATCCTGACACCCAAATATGAATTCTCTTTAACTGACATGTTCCTTTCCCTGACTGGATGAGTCTGCTAGACCTGAAATAAAAGGAAAATGGAGTTCACTTCTAAATAATCCTAATTAAAGCCTACTCTGTTAAAATACAATAGTCAGGGGCCTCCCTGGTGGCGCAAGGGTTTAAGCATCAGTACTATGAAGCAATCTGCAACTACTGCAGCATGAGTTCGATCCCCAGCCAGGGAGGTGACTCACATGGCACAGCAGACCTCTCCTGTCGCGCCTGCTGCTCCCGTCAGCAGTGTATTTCAGTCAATGCGCTTGTTCTGCTCCCCATTCTGTCTCTGGTTAATCCTCTCACCCCAACCCCCACAACCCTGGCCTACACTCCAGTTCTTGTGTGCATAAATAAATAAATCTAAAAAACAAACAAACAGTAGTCAACCTGTTCTGCAGTTGTATGTGGTGACAGAGACAAAGGCAGCACAGGGGTTAGAAAAACACACAAACACTAGCATGGCATGCTATCATCTTTATTTAAAAGTATCACGGTTACACATCAACTAAAAAAATTAATGTAGGTCCAGAAATCTCCACACAGCTCTCCGTAGTGGCTGGACCAGTTTGCACTCCAATCAACAGTGCAGGAGAGTTCCTTTTTCTCCACAACCTCGCCAACATTTTTTGTTGCTAGTTTTCTTAATATGTACCATTCTCACCGGTATAAGATGGTATCTCATGGTAGTTTTGATTTGCATTTCCCTGATGACAAGTGATGTTGAACATTTTTTTCATATGCCTGTTGGCCATTTGCATTTCCTCTTCAGAGAAGTTTCTTTTTATCTCTTCTGCCCATTTTTTGTCTGGAGTATTTTCTTTGTTTTTGTTGAGTCTCATCAGCTCTTTGCAGATTTTTATGATCAGTCCTTTATCATGAGTGTTGTGTGCAAAAAAGTTCTCCCAGGGAACCACATTTTTTTTTACTGTTTATTTTCTCTGACTAAAATGGAAGCTCTATGAGAGCAAAGATGTGATTTCGTTAACTGCTATATTCTTAGCACTGCATCATTTCCAGTTTTCTTCTTAAGAAGTCAATTTTCAAATCCATACATAATGATGCCAATTAGTACCATGTTCCCCAATTCTCTTTAAACAGACTCTTCTGATCTATCTGAATAATTGCTTATAATTTTTTTATAATTATGATATAAGTACTTCATCTTGGTACTCAAACTCTAAATCAAGATGTGTATTTTCAAAGCAGTATTAAAAACACTGGGATCGTGGGGCCTCCCTGGTGGTACAAGGGGTTAAGACACAACCTATGAAGTTGTCCATCGCCACTGCAGCACAAGTTCAATCCCTGGCCAGGGAGCTATCCACATGGTGCAGCAGACCTCTCCTGACTCGCCCACTGCTCCCCTCAGCGTGTATTTCAGTCAATCCGCCTGTTCTGCTACCCACTCTGTCTCTGGTGAGTCCTCTCATCCCCCACATTATGACTTGTACCCCATAAATAAATAAATCTTTTTAAAAAAATTGACATTATGCATTTGAACATTTCTAATACGGTGCTGGCCTAGTTGCCTAGGGGTTAAGTCTCAGTGCTATCACCACTACAGCCTGAGTTTGATCCCCTTAGCAACATATTTCAGTAAAATCTGCCTGTTTTGCTCCCCACTCTGTCTCTGGTGAATGCTCTCACTCCACGCAACTCTGGCCTACACCCCAGTTCTTCTACTAAAAAAAAAATTAGACGCTTCTAATATTAAAAAGCTATATGCAGAATAACCTATTCTTTATCAGTAACACAAGTATTATTTTAGATATGAAATACCAACCTGAGCTGTTTCTGACATTTTCTGTTCAAAATCAGCTTTTGCTAAAGCATATTTTTCCACATAGAGTTTATAGGTATCTGTTGCTTTCTTAGATTTAACAGCTGCCTGTAAAAGAAAAAAAAAATTTAAACAATCACCTTTTTTTCTGGTATGTTAATGTGAAACGGTAAATTACAATGCATTTTAAGGAATGAGAACCATGCTGAGTTCCATACAGCATAAACAAACTTGAACACCTTTTTTCAAATCTTCTTTAGTAATATTTTTTGTTATAGTCACACAGTAATGCAGAAATTAAATGCCAATTCTTCTTTCTGACAGAAGCAGAAAAAGTTAAAATGCTTTCATTCCATAAGCCACAATAAGATCATATAATCACATTCTAATAGTACAGCGTTATTAAAAATTCACTGTGCAAAAATGTGACTCTCCTACAACTGGGCGTCTTCTTTCCTCTCCTTAGAACATACACATTTAATGTTGGATTAGTGTCTAAAGCTAGTTCAACAGCTGAGTAAACTGATTTTCCCCTTGCTGCTTCTGTTCCCATTACATTCCAGTAAACCTATTATTTTTATTCACTACCTAGTTTTTCAAGATTTCTATTTTTAAAAACTGTTACAGCATTATTTTAGTTCTAGCTTCATTAACTACTTATTTAAAACAACTTAATACGTATTAGGTAAAGAACCTGAAGACAAACTATGTAAGGATTTTTTCTTCAAGGACTTCATGAAAAGATATAATCTATAACAGCCATAAATTAGTAGAAAGTGATAAAGTCACAGAAGTCAAGATAAATTCTATGAAAGCTACACATTCAGGAAAGGGAAAGATTATGTGTAATCTGTGGGTGGAGGCAGACACATGGTTTATCAAAAAACTAGACCATTCTCAAAGGACTGATCAATTTGGACAATAAGGAACTGGGGGGAAGGAAAAGTGTTTAAGTAAGTAAGAGTTTAAAGATAAAAAAGAGGGCCTCCCTGGTGGCACAGCAGTTGAGCGCTGGGTTGCGAAGCTGCCCACAGCCTCTGTGGTGCCAGTTCGATCCCCGGCTGCTCCTCGGCCACCGGAGGAGGGTCCCGCATGGTGCGCAGACCTCCCCTGCCGCCCGCTGCTCCCCTCACCAGTGTACTTCGGTCCCTCTGCCTGCTCTGCTCCCTGCTCTGGCTCTGGTGAATTCTCTCACCCTCCCGCGCTTCTGACTGTACCCAGTGCTTGTATAAATAAATAAACAAATCTTTAAAAAAAATAAAATAAATAAAAATAAATAAAGATAAAAAAGAGAAGCTACAGAATTTCAAGATATAAAGATAGCCATTTTCTTGAAGAAAGGAATGGTCTGCTAAGAGTGAAGAATAGGGTAAGGTGAGAAGCTTCAGAAAAATGAAGTTTCAAACTATATTTGTGGGGAATGCAATAAGTAATAATAGGATGCGTGAAAGTATTACTAGCAGCCACTGAGGGCCAAGTAAAGCCGGAAAACAGGGAATTTGCGTAGAGCCAATCAGAACTAATATGAATTATCTCCAGTTATGTTTAGGAGTCTAAGAATAAATATTTGAAATGGAAAATTGGGTTGACCTGGAAGTTTGGGATTGGCTAGAAATACATACAGTCTTCTCTTAAAAGGCAACTCTGTACTCTCTAAAATATAATTGCAAATATTACATTAAATATATACATTCTGTGCATTCCTGTCTTCCTAAATAAAGAATATAGGATACCACTTTATCTTAGAGTGTAAAGAAAACCGGCTTAGGAGCCTTAAGAAATCAGAGGGTTTCACTTATATGTGGAATACAGAAAAATTAAACAAAGGATCAGACAAAAACAAACTTTGAAAGCTGACCACAGATATGAGGCAGCCAAGAGGGAATGGCAAGGGGTGAAAGCAGAGAGTTTTGGAAAAGCACAAAGGAATATGGTGATGGACTAAGCGTGCTTTAGTGGTGGGAGAACTCTGGTGACCACACCTGAGGCAAAAAATCATATAGTGTCCAAAAATTAAATTTAAAAACTTAAAATATTTTTTAAAAGTTAAGAAAGAAACTGGATTTAAATTCTGGTCTGCCACTTACTACGCATCTGACCTTGTCTCTCAGCTGCATATAGTTTCCTCATTCCTAAAATGGGATTGATGCCATCTATTTTTAGAGCTTTGGCAGTAATGAAATGTCATTTATGTAAAATGCTTGAAACAGGCTCTGGCATACAATTAAATCAACAAAATAAATGGTATCTGCTTATATTATGGTTTCTAAGAGAAACACTATTAGGAACACACATTATTATATTTTGCTATTAAATAATATAAAAAGATTTCTACTGACCTATCAATCCCTGTAACAAGTGGCTAAATATATACACTAATGATTTTCTAATTTGCTCCCTCTATTTTACTCTTTTCCCATTGTCTGGCCATTTAACAGTATTTTATACTACTACTACTATGCTTCCTCTAACATCCTGGCCCTGTTCAAAGACATAACAATTACATGAGATAGGTATTTATTTATAGTTTATTAAGTACCTTCACAAGAAATCCAGATAATCAGAAAATGCAGAAAAGCTGCTAGAATTTATTTTACGAACAATTAATGGCATGGTTATCTGGGTTCCCTTCTCAGATTTTTATGCCAAGAGATTTTAGTTTCTTCTTCTAATTACCTATATTTTCAGCCTGTACAAAAGCTATCAGTAACCTTACAGTACATAAAGTGATTTTTAATGATATAGTCTAGGAAAACACAGTCTCGATGGTAGCCCCTCCTTTACTTGTTCCTTACCCCAACATCTACTCTTTTTCTCTGATGCCTACTGTCTAATAATGTTTGTTACCCATAATGACATGAATTATAAGTCCTAGAGGTAACTACAATTTGAAAAGAAATTAATATAAAACTGAAAATACAAAAAAAAAATAACCATAATGATTAAATCACTTTCAAAAGTAATGTACTTCATGGGATCTTTCCTGTTTTTTACATGTTCTATACAAAATAAGATACCTCTCCTTCTACACTTACCATTAAAATCTTTCTCTAATCTCTTGTTCTGCACTACTGAATACGTCTCAACTCTCCCAAAAGAAGGATGATTATCAGAGAGCATATGTATTTAACTTTTAATAATCTTCATAATATCTAGTATAGTGATAACCACATTACAGAAAGAAAAACATTTATTTTCTACTACACAAAACTATCACTTCATGATCCAACAATCAGAAAAATATTTGAATTAACCATTGAAAAAGACAAGATTCTAGGGTCTCCCCGGTGGCGCAGCGGTTGAGCACTGGGTTGCAAAGCTGCCCGCGGCCTCTGCAGCGCCGGTTCGAACCCTGGCCGCCTGGTGAGGGTCCCACATGGCGCGCAGACCTCTCCTGCCGCCCGCTGCTCCCCTCAGCAGTGTACTTCATCAGTCTGCCTGCTCTGCTCTCCGCTCTGACTCTGGTGAATTCTCTCACCCACCCGCACTTCTGACTGTACCCACTGCTTGCATAAATAAATAAGTAAATAAATCTTTAAAAAAAGAAAAAGAAAAAAGAAAAAGACAAGAATCTAGTCTGCAGTCTATACTGAAAATTAATTTATATCGTACTAATTAACAGGAATAACTCAAACAGCATTTTGCTATAACGATTTCTTTCCAATAAACATGCTATGTTGCTGACAATACAATAATGGTTTCCACCTCACAAAGAATTTATAACATTGCAGAAATAATAAATTCCTGCCTAGAGGAACATTATCCCTTATAGAAAAACTATTATGTATTCCAGAATGTAAACAAAATAATCATTTTGTGGGCCCCACTGGTGGTGCAGGGGTTAAAGACACAGTGCTATCAGGTTATTGCCAGGCACTGCAGCACAAGTTCGACCCCTACCCACAAGGGAGCTAACTCACATGGTGAGACAGACTTCACCTAACTCATCTGCTGCTCCCTTCAGCAGTGTATTTCATTAGATGTGCCTGTTCTGCTCCCCACTCTGTCTCTGGTGAGTCCTCTCACCTCCTCAAACCTCTGGCCTACATCCCAGTTCTTGTATGCATAAATTAAAAAAAAAATCTTTAAAAAAAAAATTTCTGTACAACAAAGGAAACAATCAATAAAATGAAAAGACAGCCTTCAGAATTAGAGAAAATTTTTACAAACCATATCAGATAAGGGGTTAATATCTAAAACATATAAAGAACTCACACAACATAAAAACAAAAATTACAAATAATCCAAGTACACTTTTTTTTTTAAAGAGGACCTTTTTTTTTTTTTTTTTTTTTTTAAAGATTTATTTATTTAGGGCCTCCCCGGTGGTGTAGTGGTTGAGCGCTGGGTTGCGAAGCTGCCTACAGCCTCTGCAGTGCCAGTTCGATTCCCGGCTGCTCCCCAGCCACCGGAGGAGGGTCCCACATGGCACGCAGACCTCTCCTGCCGCCCGCTGCTCCCCTCAGCAGAGTACTTCGGTCCTTCTGCCTGCTCTGCTCCCGCTCTGGCTCTGGTGAATTCTCTCACCCTCCCGCGCTTCTGACTGTACCCAGTGCTTATATAAATAAATAAATAAATCTTTAAAAAAAAAAAAAAAAAAAGATTTACTTATTTATTCATACAAGCACTGGGTATAGTCAGAAGCGCGGGAGGATGAGAGAATTTACCAGAGCCAGAGCGGGGAACAGAACAGGCAGACTGATGAAATACACTGCTGAGGGGAGCAGCAGGCGAGACAGGAGAGGTCTGTCGCACCTTGTGGGACCTTCGCCGGTGGCAGGGGAAAGAACCAGCGCTGCAGAGGCTGCAGGCAGCTTCGCAGCCCAGCGCTCAACTGCTGAGCCACCAGGGGAGGCCCTAAAGAGGACCATTTTTAAAAATGGTCAACAGGGGCCTCCCTCGTGGCACAAGGGGTTAAAGCACCGCACTATGAAGCAATCCACAGCCTCTGCAGCACGAGTTCGATCCCTGGCCGGCCAGGGAGAAACCCACATGGTGCAGACCTCTTCTGTCTCACCCACTGCTCCCCCAGCAGTGTGTTTCAGTCAATCTGCCTGTTCTGTTCCCCACTGTCTCTGGTGAGTCCTCTCACCCCCCGCATCTTTGGCCTGTATCCCAGCTCTTGTATGCATAAATAAATCTTTAAAAAATAATAATAAAATGGTCAACTGGCACATGAAAAAATGTTTAATATCACTAATAATCAGTGAAATACAAGTTAAAACCACTGTGATATCACTTCACTCTCATTAAAGGGGTTATCATCAAGAAGATAGGAGACAGCGGGTGCTGGAGAGGATGGAATGAAAAGGGCACACTTACACACTGCTGGTGGGAATGTAAATTGTTTTAACCACTATGAAAAACAATATGAAGGTTCCTAAAAAAATTAAAAATAGAAGTACCATATAATCCAGCAATTGCACTATTAGGTATATACCCAAAGGAAATGACAATATAGGCACTCCATTCTCTATTTCAGCATTATTCATAATAGCCAAGATAGGGAAACAATCTCTATGTCTATCAACACATAAATGTATACAAAGGATATGCTACATATAAAAATATTATTCACTCATGAAAAAGGAAGATTTTTGCCTTTTACAATACATAAATAGCCCCTGAGCACATTACCTAAGTGAGATAAGTCAGAGAAAGACAAGTACTGCATAATATCACATATATAAAATAAAAAAGTCAAACTCATAAAAAAACAAGATAAAAACGGTGGTTACCAAGAAACAGAAAGTGGGGAGATAGGACTGATGCTCAAGGGAACAAACTTGCAGTGAGTAGTAAATAAACTGTGGGATCTAATTCATGGGACAATGAATATAGAGAACAATATTGCAGTAGAAATATGTAACATAATAAATGTAGCTACAGGGAAGATCACATTACAATATATAAATGTATCAAAGTAACACACTATATACCTTACATTTACACAACTGCTTACATTTTCATTTTACCAGGATGTCTCGAATAAAAATTTCCAGACAGCAATCACAACTACTCTTTCCTCAAATGGTCTTAAAATGGAATGGGAACTGAAACATCAAACTGTTGCAGGTCTAAAAACCAAATTCACAGAGGCAATTTAATATTAGTCTTCTAAAGGTGGTTTTTAATTTCATCCTTTTTTTTAAAGATTTATTTATTTATACAAAAACCGGGGTACAGGCCAGATGTGAGAGAGTTAGAGGATTCACCAGAGACAGAGCGGGAACAGAACAGGCAGAATGGCCGACTCACACTGCCGAGGGGAGCAGTGAGACTGGAGAGGTCTCCCGCACCATGTGGGTATCTCCCTGGCCGGCCAGGATCCAACCTACACTGCAGAGACTGTGGACAGCTTCACAGTGCTGCACTCAACCGCCTGAGCCACCAGGGAGGCCCCTAATTTTTTCCTTTTAAGAAGTAGAGATATGTCCAAAAGGCATAATCATGAATGAGTTCTTTGGCTTAATTTCAGTCAGAATTGTGTTCCTATGCCCCGAACCCCAACTTCCAATAACTTCAGTCCTAGTTAGCAATCAATCTTTTTCTCCCTACCTGTACTTTCAATCAGATAACAATCAGAACTACTGCAATGAGAACATATTTTGCATACTTACTTCTGTTTCACTTAAGCAGTGAGTGGGGAACATTTAGTTTCCTTTACTACATAATAGAGAAATTCCTTGCTTAACTTGGACTTTGAGTTCAGCATGCCTACATAATCAATCTCTACATGCTACTACTTTGGGTTTCTGTTCCATTTCTGTTTCACTGAGATAATATTCTTTTTTGGAATCTGTTACTTTGTTTTCCCTTTTTATATTTTATTCATAACTGCTGGAACAGAGAATGTGTTTAAATTGTTAACTTACTGTGCCTCATCTCCTTCCCTCTCCCAATTTTGATTTACTGCATAAACATTAAAGGAAATATATTACTCTAATTCCATCAATGATTGTGATTTTTATACACGGTCTTCTAGTTTTTGCCCATGTATATACATTTCCATAATTTTTAAAATTATAGTTATAACTTGGTTTTCTTTTACTGGACATTTCAAATGCTTTAAAAAGTTATATTATGTTAAAATGCTTTCACTTCCTATGCTTCATTCCTAAATGAAATATGCCACATCAAACAAGTGAATGGTTAGTTTAAACTGTTTTGAAAGGGAGGGGGGAACCTAAGTTTCAATTAAAAAGCTAGTGGAAAAAAGGGTTGTGGTTTACCACACTACTGCAGAAATGTGTTCTAAGTCACTGATAAATCACCCACAACAGATATTTAAAGATTATCTTCAAGTATCTATGCCTTTCTAAATATATCAAAGTGTTACCTCACACAAAAAATTTTACCTCATTGTTCAATCTCATTATCTTACAAAATATCCAGCAAATGTGTCAACGACATAAAATTATTCCATTTTATGTACTTGCTAATCTATTTACCATCCACACCATATTTTGAAAAATACATCTGTTTCACTTTAATAAATCACTACTATTCAGAGGTAGTGTTTTCATCTTTAATGAGATCATTCTTGAATATTTGAAGATTAAATGCAGAGTTGTGTGTGAAAGTGCTTTGAAACCATAAAGACATTATTTTTATTCCAATTACCTTTTCTATTTCTCTTTGTGTAGCTCCTTCCTTTTTCAAACGTTCCTGTTCTACACACTTGGCATTGTAATTTTCCTTGGATTTCTGGAGAGCCTGAGTTATGGTCTGGATGGTTTGGACAGCTTCCAGAGTTCCTGCAACTTCTTCTTTAGTCTGTTTGGTATAAAATGATTCATCAAAATGACTGAACTTAAAACACCTAATATTTGACCACTTAATCCTTTAGCAAGAAAAAAAATTGGTACCTTTTTATGAGATTTTACTTGTTCTTCTCCATACTTCTGAACTTCTTTTATTAATTCTTGTAACTTTCTAACAAGATCCAAGTGACAATTTGCTAATTTTTCCGTAGATGTTTTGAACACATCCCACACTGGTGCAAAAGTTCTAAGGGAAAGAAAACACAGGGATAATGACTAAAATAAAAGTTAAGGTTCCAAAAAAGAATCAATGAAAGCAATGTTAAATTCAGCAATTTTAATTAGGCAAAAGGTGAAATTAAATCACAGATAAAATCACTGACAAACTGACCTTTATTTTTTACTTTTGGACCTCAGTATACAGAAATGGGTTAACTATCTCAGGTATGGTCACAGCTCTCTCTCAATTAAATCATATTATTTTCTGAGTTTATTTAGTTATTTGGACTTGTATCAGAAGCCTTTCTAATCATTGTCTACTATTAAATATAAACCTATCAAATTTCAATTTTAGTCTATTCAGTATTCCATCTAAAAAGTTTCATCAGGGCCTTCCTGGTGGAGCAAGGGCGTTAAGACAACCTATAAAGCTAACCACAGCCTCTGCAGCACGAGTTCAATCCCTGGCCAGGGCGCTACCCACATGGCGCAGCAGACCTCTCCTGACTTGCCTGCTGCTTCCTCAGCAGTGTATTTCAGTCTGCCTGTTCTGCTCCCTACTTTGTCTCTGGTGAATCCTCTCACCTCCCACACCTCTGGCCTGTACCCCAGTTCTTGTATGCATAAACAAATAATCTGTAAAAAAAAAAGTTTCATCAGGGCCTCCCTGGTGGTGTAGGGGTTAAGTCTCAGTGCCGACCAGGGAGACAACCCACATATGGGAGAGTAGACCTCTCCTGTCTCACCCATTGTTCCCCTTAGCAATGTATCTCAGTAAATCTATCTGTTCTGCTCCCCACTCTGTCTGGTGAATCCTCTCTCTACCTCCCTCTGGCCTAAACCCCAGTTCTTCTATGCATCAATAAATAAATCTTTAAAAAAAAGTATTAATAACAAAATGCTTCGGAGCCTCCCTGGTGGTGCAGGTGGTTGAGCGCAGTGCTGTGAAGCTGTCTGCAGCCTCTGCAGTGCAGATTCAAAAGCTGCCAGCCGCGGCAAGCCACATGGTGCAGCAGGCCCCTCCTGTCTCACCTGCTGCTCCCCTCAGCAGTGTATTTCAGTCAGTCTGCCTGTTCTGTTCCTGCTCTCTCTCTGGTGAATCCTCTCACCCTCCCGCACATCTGGCCTGTACCTCGGTTCTTGTATAAATAAAATAAATCTTAAAAAAAAACAAAGCCTCTGGCCTCCCCGGTGGCGCAGCAGTTGAGCGCTGGGTTGCGAAGCCTCTGCGGCCTCTGCGGTGCCGGTTCGATCCCCGGCTGCTCCCCAGCCACCGCAGGAGGGTCCCACATGGCGCGCAGACCTCTCCTGCCGCCCGCTGCTCCCCTCAGCAGTGTACTTCGGTCCTTCTGCCTGCTCTGCTCCCCGCTCTGGCTCTGGTGAATTCTCTCACCCTCCCGCGCTTCTGACTGTACCCAGTGCATGTATAAACAAACAAATAAATAAATAAAAATTCATGCCTCTTTAAAAAAAAAAAAAAACAAAGCCTCTCTGTTAAAAAAAAAAATGCTTCATTGAAAACAAACAAGTTCCTTTGAATTTAAATATGCAAAAGTCAAATCGGCATCTGATCTGTGTCTTCATCATTAATAATTATATAAGAATTATTTTAGGGCCTCCCCTGGTGGCGCAGCGGTTGAGCACTGGGTTGCGAAGCTGCCTGCAGCCTCTGCAGTGCTGGTTCAATCCCCGGCTGCTCCCCGGCTGTCGGAGGAGGGTCCCACATGGTGCACAGACCTCTCCTGCCGCCCGCTGCTCCCCTCAGCAGTGTATTTCATCAGTCTGCCTGCTCTGCTCCCCGCTCTGGCTCTGGTGAATTCTCTTACCCTCCCACGCTTCTGACTGTACCCAGTGCTTGTATAAATAAATAAAAATAAATCTTAAAAAAAAAAAAAATTATTTTAGAACTATTATCTGAAATCTTTGCGTGGGTATTTATCAGTGTACTTCAACAAATCTAAGATTCTCCTTTTTCAACTACATAATACAGGATTTATGACATACTTTCCTACCACTTTTTCTTAATATTGAGGACTTAATATTTTCAGCCAGTTCAAGTAAGCACTTCCTAGATTTACTACAGTATTCTATCTTGGATAATACTTAGGATGCCAGTGATTAGTTTCAATAATTTGTCAGAAAATAATAAAGTAACTTTATCCTATCTTTCCTCAGGTATTTCCTCAGGTACTTTCAGTAACACTTGCTTACACTCTACAATAATATTTCTAATAGAAAATAATACAAATAGCAGCAATGACCACTTATGCAAGAGACAGAAAAAGAAATTACGTATCCCAACATGTACTCTTGTGCCAACATTACATTTGCTACTCTGTAGGAAAGCTAACTGGCAATGATCATTTTAAGCATAATAAAGAAGTTCATGTTTCTTTAGAAAAATACTTAAGAGTAGGACTGTTCTAATTAGGTCTCTCCTCACACTTAAAAATCTAATCAGTATTTATCTGGCAGATAGTTAAATGGATATTTTTAAGTGGGGAAGGTATCTTCTCAGCACCAAAATATATGTACGTCACTTCATGTGAACCTGCTACATGATAATTTAGGCTTCACAAAGCAGATAAAAAGGGAGTATCCCTTTACATTATCAAAGGATTCTTTACACTGAAAGGATGTTCAACATAAGATTTCTTTAAATATGTAGGTTTGTTTAAGGACTTTGAACTATCCTTGGATTTTTTTTAAAAAATATCATTCAATTTTTAATACGTTAAGTTATACAACTTTTTCCTAGTCAAGTAATACACACCAGTGTACAATAAGCACTAAGAAAGAAAACTGACAAATCCAAAATATGACTGAATGCAACTAAATACAGAAAGATAATATTCAATGTCTTGCCTAAATATGCATCAATAAACAAAATCATTAATATTTTAAATATTTATCCTGAGAGACACTAACAAAAAAAAATCACTATTATTTATGAAAGCACATATTCTAAAGACAAATATTATCAATAACTTTATTATCATGAAACACAGATGATGTCAATCCATTTTTTTTTTAATCTTCCTCCTGGTAACTAAGATTAGGGTGGAATTTCCTATAATAAAACCAAGGCCATTGTTGAAGTTAGCTCTGGCCTTTCTACTGTGGTCAATAAAGAAGAAATTATGCTTTTAAAGATACATGTCTATATGAAGGCTTTAGAAATAGGAGACCACCAGAAAAGTTAAGTGAGAGATGAAAAAAGGAAAGTGAAGTTGAAGCAAGGGAGAGGGAAAGGAAAGGAACTGGAGGAAGGAAAATAAATAGCCAACTACCAGCCCCCCAGTTTCCTTTAAATGAAAGAAATGGGACCTCTCCAGCTTTCCCATCACTACACAGGGCTGTAGAAGGTCCTCTAAGTTGTGGTTGTGAACACTTATATAATAGACAGTGTCACTACTCTAAGGATAACTGAGAGTCCAACTCATTATTTACGCCACAAAGTAGGAAGATAATTAAATTCATTCAAACTCAACCACAATAGAAAATACTTTCATAAAATAGTCATAATTGATCAAGTTTTTTTGATCACAAAACCACATGTGAAACTGGTAGATAAGCCCTTTTCATGAAAAATATGAGTTAATTTTAATACCTATACAAAATTTCACATAGAATTTCAGACTTCAGATTATCAAAATCCCAGAAAAAAAAAATTCCAGAAGGAATCTTTTACGGAGTATCACTATAAAAATCTTTATAAATGTTCAACTTTTTAACATCTTAGCTAAACTAGAACCTTTCCTGAAATTTTAGATAATTATATTATCTTGAATATGTACTTCAGAGTTGTTATGGTTCAAATTAGTATACAAATATTCTTTCCAGAGGTGTTATGACTATAAGATTATCTCATTTTAAATATATCTTATTATTATTATTCCTTTTTCAAAGAACACATTTCTTGAACACAAATTTTTAAGAGAAATATTTAATCATGAGATAGTTTAATATGTTTCAATCATTTTAATAAAATTTACTTTAAGTTTTCAAAGATCTATTCAAGAGAATTTAAATAAAGTTACAGAAAACTAACGTGTGTAACATTTATAACCTCAAAATTACAAATGATTACATAGTTTAACAAAGGGGGAAAAAGAAAGCTCATTTACTCATTTGCATTAACTGATTTAGCAAGGTCAATTGTATTTTCTGTCAAGAATACATACACACACATTTTAAGTATATTATACATTGTTATAGTATTTATCAATTATTATAGCCTTACTGGGAACTTGTCTTAAGAATTTTACCTAAATTAATACTGAAAAAAAGTCTCACCCAAGTTGTGAGTAATTGCTTGCAGATTTTGCTAGTTTTGTCATTGACCTGGAGTATGCCTCTTCGATAGTAGCTCTGTGAAATCAAATTTCCATATTATAATATCTCAAATAACAAAGTTATCAAAACACAATTAAAACTAAAAAGAAAAAAATAACTCAAATATATGTTAAAAGTAAACAGGCCTGGTTCTCCCCGGTGGCGCAACAGTTGAGCGCTGGGTTGCGAAGCTGCCTGCAGCCTCTACAGCGCTGGTTCGATCCCCGGCTGCTCCCCGGCCAGTGGAGGAGGGCCATGGAGGAGGGTCCCACATGGCACGCAGACCTCTCCTGCCGCCCGCTGCTCCCCTCAGCAGTGCACTTCGGTCCTTCTGCCTGCTCTGCTCCCTGCTCTGGCTCTGGTGAATTCTGTCACCCTCCTGTGCTTCTGACTGTACCCAGTGCTTGTATAAATAAATAAATAAAGCTTTAATAAAAAAAAAAAAAGTAAACAGGCCTATGATCCAGAATTCCTAGCCTATCTTTGTGCACATCTACTTAAAGAACTAATTTGCGGGCCTCCCCGGTGGCACAGCGGTTGAGCGCTGGGTTGCGAAGCTGCCCGCGGCCTCTGCGGCGCCGGTTCAATCCCCAGCTGCTCCCCGGCCACCGGAGGAGGGTCCCACATGGCGCGCAGACCTCTCCTGCCGCCCGCTGCTCCCCTCAGCAGTGTACTTGGGTCCTGCTCCCTGCTCTGGCTCTGGTGAATTCTCTCACCCTCCCATGCTTCTGACTGTACCCAGTGCTTGTATAAATAAATAAATAAATAAATCTTTAAAAAAAAAAAAAAAAACTAATTTGCTATAGACTTAGAATAATTTATATTGCAGAAAAAACTTAAAAGTCACTAATCTTTTCTTTATTACCAATGATTATTTAACAGGTAAGTAAAAGAGGGGCTTCCTTGGTAGTGTAGGCGGTTGAGCACCGCACTGTGAAGCTGTCCGCACTGGTTTGATCTGGGCCGGCTGGCGAGGATCCCACATGGTGAGGCAGACCTTTCCTGTCTCACCCACTGCTCCCCTCAGCAGTGTATTTTGTCAGTCTGCCTGTTCTGTTCCCCACTCTATCTCTGGTGAATCCTCTCACCCTCCCGCGCATCTGGCCTGTACCCTGGTTCTTGTATAAATAAATAAATCTTTAAAAAAAAAAAAAATAAGAAGTAAGTACAAGAGTGTGTTTCTTGTATTCTCTGTCTCTATAAATTGATTCAGTGTGAAAGTCATCTGTATTTAATACTGCCTTTTTAATTGTTCCTTAAACATCACAATTCCACTATTTTACACATTTAACAATAGACAATATAAATTGTCTGCACAAAACTAAATATGAATTATTATTAAGTCTAAGATTGTGAACTCCAGGGCCTAATCTATATAGTGTTTATATATTTCATACCAGAATATTGATTTTCTGTAGCTACTATTGAGCACATAGGATTTTAGGCTTTATAAAAATCAACGAAAGTCATTAAATATATATTAAAAAAGTAATTTTCATAGATAGATAACCTAGAAATAAATACATTATCTTGACCTACTATTACTACAAAATTTTTTTATATCTTACCTTGCCAGCAATTACCCTGCCCATAAGAGTGTTACCCCTAATACTGGAAGTCTACAACTACCATTGCCCTTAGCATTTACAATGACAGGTTCAACTACAATAATTTTCTGCTTTTAATGTCCAAATCCAGAGCCCCTCACTGCTCCTACATCAAACCACTTATTTAATATCTGAATGCCTCAAGCATAACTCTACTTAGATATCTTAATCACCTCAAACTCAAATTATGCAAACTAAACTTATCTCTAACTTCTTCCCCAACCCCATCCCCACAAAACCAGCCATCTAACAAAAAGGAAGTATTACAGGAATACTAACAGTCAAATGCCTCCTGACATTTGACTTTTTTCAACTCCTTAAAACATTTACTTTTTAATACACTATTTTATAAGGATAATTCTTGGATAATCTAAAAAAAAGTTAATACAGTAACAGCATCTCTGGATAAATTCAACAGCAAGAAAAAAGTAGCTCAAATTTCCAGTAATAGTGAACAGATATCTGTAAACCTCCCAATGAGGAAAACTAGAAAAGTATGGGGAGGGGAGGAAAGGTGATGACTAAAAGACACAGGGGAAATAAAGAGGTGGTTAAGAATCAGCAGACCAAGATCTAATAACTATCCATGGAAGTGAGTCAGATTTGTAATGTAGCTTTTCCCTTAGGGCATCCAGAAGAGGCAGTTCAGACTGAGAAGTAGAACAGAGCTTTTCAAACTTCACAGGGTAAGAGAGACAAAACTAGAGTTCAGAACTGCCAAAGGTGAGAAGCATGGGAAATCCCAGGCCCTTTGAGACTCAAAGAGTAGGAACAAAGGAGTAAGGATGACCCACACATAGGCAAGCCCTCAAAGGGACTGTAAGCCATAACATTCTTCTCTCTTTTTTTAAATTTATTTTTATTTTCTTACGTCATTGTTCGTTTTTGTACAATATTTGATTTCTCCCCTCAGGTGTGGTCCCTGTGCTTCTCCCACCACCACTGCACTCGTGAGCCATCACTGTAGTCCTTTGTGCTCCTCCCTTCCCAGATCCAACCTCTCTCCTTCCCCCTACCTTGCTGTATGCCACAGATCTATGGTCAGCTCACTGGTCTTGTCTTTTTCCTGACACTCTGCTCAGTTTCACTATATTCCACTTGCAAGTGAAGCCACTCAATATTTCTTTTTCCTTCTGACTTATGGTATGAGTTTATATTTTTTTCATTACAACTCATAACTTTTCAAACCTGATATTTGATCCAAATGGATGGTTTATATAAACGAGATAAACTAGGGGGAACAAATCAGCAATATACCAAATACTGATTATCAAGTTTAGGCTCTTGAGTTTAACATATTATGTTGAAGTAGACAGATTAAATCAAGTATTTATGTAGAGAACTAGAAATTATTTCTTTTAAGTGTAGGAAAACATAATAAATCTGAGAATGTAAATTCTACAGCTGAAAAATAAAACCACCAAAAGTAACATCACAATAAATAGAGTTTTCTAGATTTGATACCACTCTGCGAAAATTAGTAAATTAGAAGAGAGGTAAGAAAAAATCCATCCTAGGGGCCTCCCTGGTGGTGCAGGGGATTGGGCGCCACACTGTCAGGCAGTTCTGCAGCCTCTGCAGCACGAGTTCGATCCCCAGCCGGACAGAGAGCGGTCCACATGGCGAAGCAGACCACTCCTGTCTCGCCCGCTGCTCTCCTCAGCAGTGTGTTTCAGTCAGTCTGCCTGTTCTGTTCCCCGATCTGTCTCTGGTGAGTCCTCTCACCCCCTGCGTCTCGGGCCTGTGCCCCAGCTCTTGTATGCATAAATGAATAAATCTTTGGAGATGAAAAAGAGGGAAAAATTTAAAAAAAAAAAAATAAAGAAAAATAAAATCCATCCTAGAGTAAAGTTCAGGGAGAGAAAAGAATGGAAAATTAAAGGACAAAGCAAAAAAAAATCTAAAATGTGTAAAGAGAGAAAGAATAAGTCACAAGAAATATTTGCAGAGGTAATGATGAGAACTTTCCAAAACTGACAAAACATACCAAAATCACAGATCCAAGTAGCTCAATAAACTCTAAGAGGCTAAATGTCTACAGCTACAGCATGTGAAACTGCTGACAAAAAGAGCATTTTAAAGGTAGTCAAACTTTTAATGTTATCTTCAAAAGAGCAGTAAGACTGATATTAATGTCTCAAAAGTAGGTAATGGAATGGTCTTCAAATAAATTTTTTAATCTAGTAAAATGCAAAACTATAAAGCTCCTAGGAGAAAACCTGGATGACCTAGGGTATGATGATGTCTTTTTAGATACAACACCAAAGTCATGAATGAAATGATTAATAAGCTGAACTTCATTAAAATTAAAAACTTCTCTATGAAAGAAAATGTCAAGAAAAGGAGAAAACACGTCACATATAGGGAAAAACTATTTGTAAAATAAACATCAGAAAAAAGAGAGTTACCAAAGTATATAAAGAGCCTTTAAAATCCTAAAAAAACAAGTATCTTTGTTAAAAAATGGGCAAAAGAGGGCCTCCCCGGTGGTGCAGTGGTTGAGCGCTGGGCTGTGAAGCTGCCCGCAGCCTCTGCAGCACCAGTTTGATCCCCAGGCGGGCGGCTAGGGTCCCACATGGCACGACAGACCTCTCCTGCCATGCCTGCTGCTCCTCTCAGCAGTGCATTTCATCAGTCTGTCTGTTCTGTTCCCCGCTCTGGTGAATTCTCTCACCCTCCCGTGCTTCTGACTGTACCCAGTGCTTGTATAAATAAATAAATAAATAAATAAATAAATAAATAAATAAATCTTAAAAAAAAAAATGGGCAAAAGATATTAAGAGTCACCTTACTTTAGATGACAAACAAGCATATGCTCCAAAACATATGTCATCGGGAAAACACATTAAACAAGATCCACTACATACTTATTAGAATGGCAGAAGTCTGGAACACTGACAACACCAATACTGGCAAGCATGTGGAGCAACAGGAATTCTCATCCATTACTGGTGGGAATGCAAAACAGAAGACTGTTTCATACAAAAATATATTCTTACTCTACAATCCAGCAACAGTGTTCCTTGATATCTACCCAAAGAAGGTGAAAACTTTAGTCCACACAAAACCTTGTATACAGATGTTTATAGCAGCTTTATTTATAATCGTCAAGACATGGAAAAAACCAAGATGTGCTCCAATAGGTGAAGAGATAAACTGTGGTATATCCAGACAATGGATATTTCTCTTTGTTTTTTCAGCACTAAAAAGAAATGTCATTAAAAATACATGGAATAACCTTAAATGCATTTTGCTAAGTGAAAAAAGTCAATTACATACTGTATGATTCCAACTATATTACATTCTAGGAACTAGCAAAACAAAGGAGATGATAAACAGAAAACAGAAAATTCTTAAGAGCAATAAAAATATTTTGTATGGCATTATAGTGATGAATACATTTGCCCAACCTGTACAATGTACAACACC